CTCTTGAGGTAATTTTGGTCGGCCGGCCACTCCTGGGAAGGTTCACCACTGTTCCATGTTTTCGCCATTTGTGGATAATGGCTCTCACTGTGGTTCGCTGGAGTCCCAAAGCTTTAGAAATGGTTTTATAACCTTTTCCAGACTGATAGATCTCAATTACTTTGTTTCTCATTTGTTCCTGAATTTCTCTGGATCGCAGCATGACGTCTAGCTTTTGAGGATCTTTTGGTCTTCACTTTGTCAGGCAGGTCCTATTTAAGTTATTTCTTGATTGAGAACAGGTGTGGCAGTAATCAGGCCTGGGTGTGGCTAGGGAAATTGAACTCTTAAACCACAGTTAATTCATGTTTTAAGGGGGTGGGGCAATCACTTTTTCACACAGGGCCCTGTAGGTTTGGATTTCTTTTTCCCTTAATAATAAAGACCTTCATTTATAAACTGCATTTTGTGTTTACTTGTGTTATCTTTGTCTAATATTTAAATTTGTTTGGTGATCTGAAACATTTAAGCGTGACAAACATGCAAAAGAATAAGAAATCCGGAAGGGGGCAAACACTTTTTCACACCACTGTACTCATAACATTATACACAGATCAAAACAGGCCAACCGCTTATCTGTTTCTACACTGTATGTCCAAAGTATCTAGACACCTCTTTTAAATTGAGTTTAGGTTTTTCAAACTGCACCCATTGCTGACTGTGTTCAGTTGCATGCAGACAGCCTGTACTAGATGTTGTGCTGGACACTTTGGAGCAGTCGAGACAAAAGTCACCCAATGCCAAATGTTGGCTAGAGGGGCATAAAGCGCCCTAGTACTGGGCTGTGAAGCAGTGGAACTGCATTCTCTGGAGTCGTGAAACTCCATCCAATACATTTGGGATGACTCGGAGTGGCTTTGTGATCCAGAACTAATCATCTCACCAGTGCCCTTGTGGCTGAATGCAATCAGATCCTCCCAGCAATGTTCCAACATCTAGTGTAAAGCCTTCCCAGAAGAGAAGAGGGTCTCACTGCAGTAAAGGGGGGCAGTGTCCCTATTAATACCACTGATTTTAGAAGAATTCAGGAGAAACTTTGGATGAACAGGCATCTACAAACCTTTCAACATATAGTTCAGTTCAGTCATTAGCTTATGTTCTATATGCAGCCCTGTCGTGGGCTGGAGGTTAGGGAACCAGCCCTGTGACCGGAAGGTCGCCGGTTTGATCCCCTTGAGCAAGACACCTAACCCCCAACTGCTCCCTGGGCGCTGCAGATAGGGCTGCCTACCGCTCTGGGCAAGTGTGCTCACTGCCCCCTAGTGTGTGTGTTCACTAGTGTGTATATGGTGTTTTACAGCACAGATGGGTTAAAATGCGGAGGTGAAATTTCCCCGTTGTGGAATTAACAAAGGTTAACTTAACTAACTTAACTTGACAGCGTTCTTAATCTCCCCTTTATTCGTGATACATCCCATCCATAGCAGCTGTTTTCAGCTGGAACCTTCATAAAGCCATAAAATGATTAAGGACTCTAAAAATGTAAAAGATCAAATGAAAAGTATTAAAGTAGATCTTTTTGATACCAGGAAATCTATTATATACACTATACAACAAAAGTGAATACACTATTTTCAGTTATTTTCAGTATCACTGAACAAAACATCAGCTCAATGCAACTTAATTCATTTTTTTTAAATATCCAGTGCAGTTTTTTAAAGACTGCACGTTAAATGGACACCATGGCACTAAAATTTAGCTGTCATGATTTGCTGTCATCTCATCCCAGAAAGTGTTATGACACAACCGAATATCAACAAAAACCTGTCACTTGACATAAGTGTTATGCAATGACCCCAGATCAATTAACTCAAACAGCCAGGGCCCACCGGGGGGCTCAAATTTATATTACACACTTTTATAACTTTCATATTAGTTATAAGTTTGCTGTCCGGTGTCGACCAGAGGAGGATGGGTTCCCTTTTGAGTCTTGGTTCCTCTCAAGTTTTCTTCCTCTTGTTTTTAGGGCGTTTTTCCTTGCCACTGTCGCCACTGGCGACGCTCATGGGGGCTCGGACCCGAATTTTTCTGTCAAGCTGCTTTGTGACGACACCTGTTGTAAAAAGCGCTATATAAATAAACTTTGACTTGACTTGGCTTGTAACGTAAGAATACTTCATTGAAGTCCCTGTAGTTACTAAATAAAAAGGCTGAGATTTTAAGGGGTTAATTTAAAGAACAAAATTATTGAAGCAAATTCATAAACAACTGTTTAGTAAAACTAACGCAAAGCTCATACTTTAAAATCAACTGCAGTGAAAGTCGGCGCAGTTGATTTTAAAGTCCTTTCACTCACAAGATTTTCGTTGTTTACCTTTGTTTGTTCAAGCCTCCCTGGCATAGTTGGCAGCAAATCTGTGGAGAGATATTCTGCTGTTCCTCACAGGTGATTCTTTTCAGCTCTTCTTGGCTCCAGGGGTTGCGCTCCTCTACTTTCTGCTTTAAGATCCCCCCTCATGTGTCCTATAGGATTCAGGCCCAGTGGAATACGTGGCCAGGTGATGGTTTTCTCGTTCTTGTTCTTTAAGAACTCATGCCTGCCTTTGGCAGTGTGTTCAGGATCTCTGGGTCTCATTTAGCAACCATTCTTGAGAAGAAATTTCTTCTTCAAACCCACTTCCACAGTTTTCACGAAGATTCTGACGTTCACCATTGTTTTCGTATGTGGGATTTGTTCTTAGGTAAGACCAGAATCTACATGCACTCAAGAGCACAAAGGTGCAAACAATCCTGCAGTTTAAGAACACGTCATCAATCTGACACACTTTTTCTTATGACCTTCCTCAAGATCAAATTTAAGAAAAAACTTAGGAAGACATTGATGAACGAGGTGCATTGTCTTGTTGGAGCATTCCTGCCAAGCACCTTGAGAGTGGGAATCATCTTTTCATTGAGTATTTCGGTGTGTTCATGACGTTGACATCTCTGCTACACCTGCTGAACTCTTACAGGCCCGTATTGACACACTACCACCACCATGTTTCACAGCTGACAAAAGGCCTGTACTAAACATGCTGAACCAAACAAGTTAATCTTAGTTAAACATTTCACTAAAAAGTGTCCCGTTTGTCCGATTTCATTTTCTAAGGCGAAAAGCATGTTAACACACATTGCTTACTTTAAATTTTTTTCTCTGATACAATTCAACAAGCTCCAACCTCATGTATGCTCCATCTGTCCATCTTTCTGATACTCAGCATTTGGCAGATGCATTTCCGCTCATATAATGTTGACATGTATTTCAAATATGCGGGCAAGATCGTCTCTGACCACCTCTGCACATGGTTTGAGTGATCTAATCGTAATCCAATCACAGTGCATCCTGGAGTCGTTTTCATCGCTCGGATGCCAGGTGTTAACAGGCCCTTAGTTTCATCTGGCTAGAAAATGTGCTGCAAATGTTCATCAGGCTTCTCTTCATGTTCTTTTCCAGACCAGATTTGTTAGTAACAGCTTTCCTTTTGGATGCCGTCTGTAGAGGCTGACTTCCAGGTTCTGGCTGAGCTTTAACTGAGAGGCCTATTTCTGAAGATAAATCTTGTGCTAAGCTAGAAGCTCTAGCCCGTCTGTTTTTCAGTCCAACACCAGACTGTGCATTTTGTTGTCTTTCGAGCGAAGCCGCGCCTTTGGTTAATGGTAGAGTAGCTCTTTCGATACCTCCTATTAACTGCTGCAGCTGTGTTTCCGCTTCTGTTTGGTAGCTTACAAATGTTCTTATACCCTTTTCTGAATTATTGAGGTTTTACTACCAGGTTTCTTCATTTTTTTGACAATTCTTTGCCATGTGGAGCCATTATGGATTACCCAGCCCATAAGAGACCAAAACTTGGACAACTCTGGTGTTAACAGCCGGTTCTGTCTAGCAAATGCAGCCATTAATGATTTCAATATTAAATTGAACCAGATTATTTTTAATTAAACATAAGATCATGTAACCAGTTTTCGTAAGTTAATTATACAACCGTTTGTTCCGGCCACGAACACTGTATCACTCCGCTGAGACACCGTTGCTAAGCAACGACTTTGACAGCTGTAGGAGACGCTCAAGTCATTTGAACATTTTTACTTCTTACTTTGCCACAAACAGAAAATGGACACTTTCAAGATCACATTTGACCGACAGCCGATTTGGTCAGACTCTGAAGATGAGACCACACTAAATTCCCAAACTGTCATCACCACTGAGCAGCTTTTCAGTCGGCAGCTGTGACAGAAGAACAGCTGAACAACCTGGAATCAGCCAGAAATGAACACAATACCATTAAGATGTTTTACAGACTGGCTGGAACAAAACAACATTAATACTGATCTGGCAAAAACTGACAAAACTGAGCTGAACTTGATATTGAGGTAGTTTTATGGCTCAGTCCGATTTGGTCAGACTCTGAAGATCAGACTACACATTTGGCGAATGGTATTGGGTTCATTTCTGGCTGATTCCAGGTTGTTTAGCTGTTCTTCTGTCTCAGCTGCCGACTGAAAAGCTGCTCAGTGGTGATGCCGGCTGTGCAGCGAGTGGGCGGAGTTCGTTACTCTGACGTAGCAACAAGCTGCTTGTTTAGGAACTATAATTTGGCGGAGGGAACTGTGAACATTAAAACATATTAAATAAAACATTCACTGCCCAGTTTATTAATTTATTACTTTATTTATTTAACTGTTGTGTAAAAGCAATAGAACACTCGAGGAGTGTGTTATCGCCAATAACATCACGGCTGTAATGATCTACGGCGACCAAATCACAGCCGTGATGTTATTTCATGATAACACACTCCCTCTCGGGTTCTGCTGATTAAGTATACGCACTCATGGTCACTGGAAAATCAAGGGATTTGGACCACCTGTGCGAACTGTAAACACATATGCATGCTGCATGTCAGATGTAACCGAGAGATGAAGTGGGTTGCTTGAAAAACCTGAGGAAAAACAAAGACGCTCAGGGCACTTTCTGTACAACTTTGCAAATTTACAAACTTTATTCTTCCTTTAGGAAATGATGCAAAACGAAATGCACACCATCCAAGTTTTCCAGATCAGCATGAGCTGCTGTTTTCGCACTCTCTGAAGCGAGCACCTGTTAATGCTGCGCCGAAAAAGAAAGAAAGAGAAGGAGCATTTACAGTCAGACTCCTCCGTGCCGGTAAGGACACCCACGGATAGGGAGCGGACAAAGGTAAGTGCAATACAGTATTTGGGGGTAAGGGGGGGCTGTCAACAACACAACGTTACTGTATTCTGCTACAGTTCCTTTCATCATACACAATCATCAAAAACAAGGAGGATCATATTTAAAACAAGGTTAGACAACCTGAACCACCCGAGAGAGTGTAAAATGAAGGTAAACCCATGAATGAAGTGACTTTTATTGTAACAAAAGTGATGAATCAGAGTTCATGGTGAGACATGGCGAGCATGTTAGTATTCACATATGGTCATATATACAGCACAAGAGGAAAACTCCAGTGGAATAACCTGCTGTTTCGTCCTGCACAAAGATGGAACCGTTCCTGATGAACCCAAAAGCCTCTCCTCAGGCCCAGCTCACATCCCCAGTCCCATCAGTCAGAGCTACAAGTCGTGTCACTCCACCAGGGCCGTCACAATGAATCAATTAAACTTGATTACTTGATTAAAATGTACCTTTTCGGTGAATCAGCGATGATTGGTTGACAATTTGCATAACGATAATGCATTTTTTACAATTTCCCAGAGCCACTTTATATTTATAAGAAGTCTTTTTAAAGGTGTCCTTTTCCAAAAAAAGGATTTGGGATTCTTTGAAAGGCTATGCATGGTTTATTATTGCTCAGTTCAGTTTTATTTTTTTGCCTTTTTCTTAAAAAAAAATCAGATTTGGGAATGAATTGTTAAAATAATCAATACTGATTTACTAACAGAATCGACATCGACAGCCTTACAATCCTCATAACATTGGCCAACAGCCAATGAGCCATAAGAATGGTACCTGTATCTTCTAATCAGGTTGTTCATTCGCTTTCATTTGCTTTGATATGCAGATGCCGAGGCGATGTACAACTTACAGAAGCAAAACCCTGAAGTGCTTCTGTTAAGTCAGCATTTGTTTTGGAGAGGCTCTTTGTACTACAGCCCAAATGCAGTGACGTCTGCTCACCCTCTCATCTAGTCATGAAGGGAAGGTGAATGGGACCGAAGTAAAGTGCACTTGCAGGCTGTCTGGACCAGCGGGACCCAGACGAATGGCTGTGGAAATGCTAGAAAAGGGGCTTTAACATGCAGCTAATCTCGTTGGACCTTTTTTGACTGGCGGAACCCTCTCATTTGGGGCCTAGAGGTTAAAAATAGAAGGGGGGGAGATTTGTGCTATGCATGTGTACACTCCAGCACAGTCTCTTGCCAAAACCAAGAGGCATTCCAGTCCCATGCTGGGCGCTAAACCCCAAATCTCTGACCACAGAGCTAAATATACTACAGCCAGCCTCCTGCCTGTCCCCTTAACCACACATCTCAGACATGAATCCCTCCCACTTTCTGTAAACTGATTTTGGGGAACAGCAACGCAGGAATTTACTCCCCCAGTTTGGGTCAGGTTTGTAAATGGTTTCCACAGAGCCAGAGATGCTTGCTACGGGACGCAGCTGATGACGATGAGTCCTCATTAGCTGCGTGCCTTTCCGTTGTCCTGCTAAAAGCTGAAAATAACTGGGTGCACTTCATCAAAGGTCTAATTGTTCCCTTCTCAAATGGAGAGGAGAGTCAGAAGGAGGTTGTTTAGAAGCCCTGTCCAGGCCTTGCCCTCTAGATTTGAGTGGGATGACCTTGCGGCAGGCCGTCTGGGACCACATAGACCCAGATAAAATCGTGGACTTCCGCAGGCTATCAACCGCTACTCCACTGAGCTTCTCTCCTGCCTCAGAGACAAAACTGGAGCATCGCATTCTCCCCTGTACGCTCCACAGCATACAAATACCATCCATTAAATACCCAACACAGTCATACCGTATTAAATTAGAGAAATACACTGAGGATCTGAGGATCACTGCTTGCATAATCTGTTAGAGTAAAAGAAAAAAAAAAGATCACGATTGTCCACAAAGCATGTCCAAACCCTGCTTTTCAAATAGAGAGAATTAGTAGTAATGACCCATAGAACATGGTCTTGTTTGAAGTCCTGCTGCATCATTCATATCCCTGCACATGTGGTTTCACGTGCTCAGCAGTCGGGCTGCTGCGGACACGCTGGATCGCACACCAGCATCATCAGCATGACATCTGCAGTGAGAACGATGTAGATCCAGTCTGTACAGTGCTGCGGAGACTCCTCCAGGAGCCTCTTTCCTGGCTGAGGATTCGCTCAAATTGATTCAGAGCAGATTCAGATCTAAGGACCTTCCGTGAAAGCTGGTATGTAGTGAGTCGCTGAGCCGTAAGTTCGAGGTTTCACTTGCTGGTGATTCAGGTTTGAAGGTTTCGGTTTAGGAACTAAAGGTCTGATAACCATGGGGCCGAAAGCTTGTGGCCACCGCAAAGAAATCCGACATAGCTTCCTTTAAGACATCAGTATGTCCAAGCTGGGAAGGGTGGAGATGACCAGACGAGATTTATCTCTTATTGTCACCAATGCCATAGTTTAGTGTCCCACAGTGAGAGAAACTGGGCACTCAGTGCTGATTAGAAGGAAGAAAGGTTAGGGCTGAGTGGTCAGATGAGGCCCTGGATGAAGCTGGTGTCCAGGTGCACGATGAGCATGCGAAGGAAGGACATCTCTTTGCGCGTGTTCTCGAAGATGATACGGGGGTCGTCAGACTGGCAGCGCAGACAGTTGGGAGCCATCACCATGGCCAGATTATTCACGTCCATCTTGGTTTTACTCACGTTCACCGGCTGGGCGAAAACCTGAGCAGGGAGAAGGAAATGAGTGAGATGAGGGGAGTATGGTAACATTTTGTGTTGAATCAGCTTCTGAAACACAGAAAGAATGACTCAGACTGAATTATGTACCAAATGTAACCTAAAATAACGCAGAATTGCGTGTAGAGCAACACAACACACAAAGTAGGTCATGTGGCAACAACAGTAGCCTAATGTTACAACAGCGGTTTAGGGCCACTGTTAATAAAAATAAAAATAGCAGAGTTTGAGAATAAAGCCATAATATTTTGAGGAAAAAGTCATAATATTTAGAGAAAAAGTCGTATGGTATGATATTTTGAGAATAAAGTTGTAATATTTCGAGAGTAAAGTCGTAATATTTAGAGAAAAAAAAGTTATAATATTTCAAGAAAAAAAATCATATTATTTGGAGAAAAAAATTCATAATATTTTGAGAAAATAGTCATAATATTTTGAGAAAAAAATCAAAATATTTCGAGAAAAAATTCGTAATATTTTGAGAAAAAAAATTCGTAATATTTCAAGAAAAAAGTTGTAATATTTTGAGAAAAAAGTCTGGCCCATGGTTGTTGAGCACAAGGTTTGAAGAGTCAGAGAATTCATTACACTCATCATCTTAAAAATTCCTAATGACACTTCTTGACATGCTTAGGCAGCCCAGATGAGACAATTAAGCCTAATGAGTTAATTAAGTGACTTTACAAAAGGGAGTCCAAATCTTTACACATACCAGTATTTATATATATATATATATATATATATATATATATATATATATATATATATATATATACATATATATATAATTACTGTAGAGGTTGTGTTTACTTCTTTGCACTTTATAAATCACTTTATAAATCAACAAAATATATGATTTAGCCAAATGTGCCCAATATGGACAGACTGGCTCAGCAAGGTTGGTTCCCAGGCAAGGAGGGTAGCTAAATTCAGTTCAGTTTGCAGCGTAAATGTAATCAGACCGTACCGCAGTGTCTGGTGAGAAAATGCCATATATATGCAAATAAAAAGGAAGACTTAAAAAAAGAATAAAAAGCTGCAGTCTCTATAAATCAGGCTGTTTTGTCCTGTAGGGTAGGACAGTGTCTGAGCAGTTTTTAAACCTGGGTATACTTAAAGCAGAAAACACTGGTTGATATTCAAGGTTTCAGTAGGTATTGGTTCATCTCTACTGTGTGCACACGTCTGTAATTAATATCTAAAAATGGCTGGAAACCAGTCCAACTGGCTCTAGCAGAGCTTGTGTGTATGTTGTCGGTCCAAGGCGGATAAAATAGGACAACATAGGCTACTTGAACTGTTTACAACTGCACTGCACTACTGGGAGTCAGTATTGGAAGGAGACTGAGTTTCTTCTCATGAAAATGGATTTAAGTTATAAATCAGCATTTATTTAATAAAATCATTCACTAAACACTAGACCAGAGGACACTAATAGGCGGACCGCGGTCTGAGTCCGGACCCAGACGCTGTCCTATGTGGACCTGGACCTATAACTGATAAAATATGGAGAATTATTTAATTTCGACGGGGTGGTCCTATTTTAATCGGCGTAACTTTTCTAGACTTTACGGTAGCTTTAGCGGCCCGGGAAACTCACAGACCAATCGCATGCGTTGTAAATATTACACGTGACGCTACTCAGCCAATCAGATCTGTGCATTACGACGAGCAATGAGACTCGAGTGAGTGTCGCACACACAGGGGAGGGACGAGGCGAGAAACAGCAGTCAGAGAAGAAAGTGAGTCAGAGGGAAGTTATTTCACACGGTGTGAACTAAAAAGAGAAAACTGACAATAAATGTTGTTGAAATGTTACTGAATTGTACTTTATTTGATTTGACATTCAGTTGTTGACTGTATAAGATGTTGATACACCTACTAGGCTACTTCAGTAAACAGTATATGGCACTGAATCATAATGCATGTTAGACATTATGATGTTCTGAACCTTCGCTTAAGGAAATTTTCTCTAACTGGACCTTACTGAATTTTAATTATATACCCCTGATCTAGACAAACTAAACTAGCCAAACAATTTCCTCTTGATTAAATTCATCTTATACAGGAATGTGTGAGTGTTACCTGTAAGAAGTGGATGAAGTAGCAAAGCACCAGTCTGTTGAGCTCAGGTAATGACTGCACTACACCGATGGCTGCCTCAGGATCCTCATAGTGACTAATGCACTGCGTATAGAAGCTCTGCGGAATCACCGGCTCCTCCAGCTCCCTGTACCACAGCTTCAGCAGCGACGCTGCGGGAGGGAGAGTCAGAGAGAGAGACACGGAAATTGTGATCAGAGGTTTTTCCATCTTCCAAACCATCTTGCAGTCTTCATCAAATGATGACAGGCAGTTGAGGACAGTTAGAAAAATGATAGAAATAAGAAAAACACAAACGCTTAAGCAAATATCCTGAGACTGGGTTGGACTATAAACGCCAAACAGTGTAAAGGGACAGTTTTAAATATAGGTGATATGGCTCTTACCAGGGACGTTAGGGTCAGAGAGGTTTTCTGGCACTTTCCACTGGTCCACCTGTAGCTTGAGGGCGTTTACCTCATCAATGTCTCCGGGTACTCTGCAGCATAAAATAAACCCATTTACATATCATGTCTATCATATACGAAACACCAGGGTCCAGTTTTCAAGACCAAGATTAATCTTTAAGCTACACTAAGTCTGATTCTCTACTGAATAATGTTACAGTTTGGTCCAGGGTGAAGCTTGTGTGGAAATACAGCTCCAGGTGTTTTGATGTTTATGTTTATGTGACTTTCTAAGAAAGCCGGGTGACGCATTTCGCTGCTGTCGGAAGAAAACCTTGTATCTCCATTTTTGTCGTTTTTCAGTTTTTGACATAATTTGAAAATGCCTGTTGCCGTTTACATTGTATGCAAATTTCATGATGAATGGACTAAAAGAAGTTACGCAAAATGACTTGGGAAAAAGTCTGGTTCCACTGACTTGCATTTAAAGTAGCATATGTTTTTTCCTTCTCCTGTAAAGTTACCGTTTTGGAGATACGAGGTTTTGATCTGACGACAGGGATTTATAAAGGCACATAACGCCTACATAAGCCTTTCCCGACAAGTAACTTAAACCTACAGAAACATTTATCAATGCTTATTCCATTGATTTTGATACCATTTCACATCAGCAAGTGTTATGACAACAGACAACTTGTTGGAAGTAAGCCTTTATGAATATCTACATGGAACAAAAACTGAACACAACACATTTTACTAAGAAGATTTTACTGAAAATATCCTGGATTTTTTTGGTCACACTGCTGCGCAAAAGGAGGGAAACCCAAAGTGTTGCATTTATATTTGTGTTCAGTTTATCATCAACTGTCTGAACAAAAACCATGTATATCCAAAGTGGTAATTTTACAGGAGAGGGATAAAAAACCTTAACTTGTAATAGACGCTACTGAAACAAGATTTATTTCCCCAATTCTGGACCATTTCTATTATCTGTTCATCATAAAATATTAATACAATGTAAAAATTCAAATAGGTTTATGTCACTTGCCACGAAAGGCTTATGCAGGTGTCATGTAGCCTTATGAATACTGCCCTTCAGTGAAACTAAGTAAAGAATACATGGAATTTTCTCTAAAAGGAATCTGCCACAAGGTGGCACTAGTTTGCACAATACAATTCCCCTGCATTGATCTTAGAACGGTGCTGGCATGCAAGATAAACAAAAACATGAATTAATATGAACATGTTTTTCTGAGCATCGTCAGATTTAAACAAAGCAGATGGTCCTGTGTGTGCGTTGCTTTACTCACAGGGACTGACCGAAGAGGAATGAGGGTGACACTTGTAATATGGAAGTGCCCTGAAGCGAATATCATATTTAAAAACAATAAACGTTCAATGTGGGGTGATATTAAAAACAGGAGATTTCGTTTGGCACGAGGGAATGAAAAACAAACGGCCAGGGACAGATTTCCTGACACAAAGCGCATCGGTCGCAGGCGCCATGAAGAGATAATTAGAAAAGGGACGGGAGGGATGGAAAGAATGTGTTTGCCATTTTTATATCTGTACACACACACACACACACACTCACACACACACCCACACACCCACACCCACACCCACTCACACACACACACACACACTCACACACACACCCACACACCCACACCCACACCCACTCACACACACACACACACACGCATGGAAAAATGGGAAATCCCACTCAGCCACTGGATCACATTTCCTAAGCCTGTCAGAGTAAGGCCCCATCCCATTTCACCCCTCGCCCCTACTGCTGAGCCCTTAGCCCTCTGTTTTGCACGTTCACGTCTAGGGGTAGGGTGTCCTGATTCTTGTTGAGATAGAGGGGTAGGGTGAAGTGTTGGGGCTACATCATCCTCCAAATGGAGGTTTTCCAGAGACTCCAAACAGAGAGTTATGAGAAAAAAAGAAAAACCGGCAAGATGGAGAACAAGAGACCAAAGAAACACACAAATGTGAGAATTTTCTCCATTTAAAAATGACAATAACCATTGTTTTATCTTAGTTTAATGTTGTTTCAATGCATTATGGTTATTTTCTTCATAACAAGCATAAAAAAAATCGCTAGTACTACCGTTCCACCTTAAATAGTCCAGCAGTTCTGACGCCTGAAGTGCCAGAATGTAGCCGCTGCTCCATTTAAGGTGGAACGGGAAAATTCGAACAAGAAGCTGGTGAATATCTGACTTCAGCTTCATATCACTGAAGAATTAGGGGTGGGTGATAATAAATAATTGCCCCCCTCTTTGAAGTCATATGATGCCCTAAATGTAACTAAAGCCCAGCAGTGAGGAGCTGAACTTCACCCTCCTCTGCTGTCACTGCAGACTGGCAGGGTCGCCTACAGAGCAGCGCTGGTAGCTGTTAATGAAGTGATGCTCTTTTTATTTGAGGGTCTCAGTTTTTGGGGGAAGACTTCAACCACTACCTGTTGTGACTCAGTTCCGAGGGGCAAGATGACACTCGAAAACAAGGGGTAGGGGTAAAAATAAGAAATGGGACTGGGCCTAAGTCTACTGATGCAGGATCAGGTCTGTCCTGCCCATATTACTGCACACATGTGGACGTAAAAGAAAAAATGACTGCAGATCAACTTTCACAACTAAATAAATGTAAATTCGGGTGACTGTGCTCGTGTCCCCGCCCCGGCCCAGAACAAAGCCAGCGCTGTAATTTGTGCTTGTTTGGCTCTCGTGCGTATCGAAGCAAAACCAACACTCGCTTTTTATGAAAACACATCAGCCGGCTTTACAAATGAGCGCGCTGTTCTGTTTAAACAATTAATGCATTCAATTTTATTTCTCCTTTTGCCAAATGTCAAACAGACAGGGGTCTGTTTGGACAAACAGCTCCTGCAGGGACCACCCAGCCATCGTGGGCCGTCGTGAGAGCTCGAAGCAGCAGCGTGCAAGAAGACACACTCTCTTTAACGACACATGGAAGGATGAGCTGGTTTGCACTGGGTTGTTTTGGAGTGATGGGGGGGCAGAAAATAGGATTGAGCCATCAGTCTTTGAACTTCGTATCGCAGACGCATGTTTGTTTGGGTCTTATAATTAACTTGGCTAGACATACAGAGGAGAAATTAACTCTTTTCTTCCCTCAAACGTTCACGCTTCGCTGGTTCTGCCCACATAAAAAAGCTGCATCTTTCCCAGTTTGAGAGATACGACTATGTTTTACTGTCATAAGGAAGGTCTGAGTGCATTTGTGGAAATTCCTTTATTTAGCTGCCCAGTTGGACAGATGGTATCCATCTCTCCCAGGTCATAGATGTTTGTTCATAGCTGATGCATGATGCTTGTGCATGTTTGCTCACAGCTAATACATGGTGGTCATACACCGATCAGGCATAACATTCTGACCACCTCCTCGTTTCTACGCTCATTGTCCATTTTATCAGCTCCACTTACTATATAGGTGCACTTTGTAGTTCTACAGTTACAGACTGTAGTCCATCTGTTTCTCTATGTACTTTGTTAGCCCCCTTTTACCCTGTTCTTCAGTGGTCAGGACCCCCATGGACCCTCACAGAGCAGGTACTATTTGGGTGGTGGGTCATTCACAGCACTGCGGTAACGCTGACGTGGTGGTGGTGTGTTAGTGTGTGTTGTGCTGGTCTGAGTGGATCAGACACAGCAGTGCTGCTGGAGTTTTTCTGGAGGTTTTCTCTCAATTTTTTATTTTCTGAGCACTTATTTGTATTGTTGTATTAATTTTTTTGCATAACTTGTGCATAAACTGCATAAATTGTGCTCAAATTTAATGTTTAACAAACCAACAAAAAAGTCCACAATTACTTCGGAAAAAATCTTGCTACATTAAAGGGGAACTCCACTGATTTTTCTAAATTTCTGCATAATTAAACGGTTAATGTGTAATCAAAATCATTCAGAGTGGTTTGGCATGAAATGCTTTATTCTAGAGAAACTTACAGAGCCGGAACTGAAAAGACAGAAAACGTATTAAACTTATTTTTTCAGATTAATCATTATTTTACCATAATTAACATTACATATAAAAACTCTGAAGACACATGTGGGCTCACTGGTGATTCTGTATAGTGAATAAACTGGCTATAGTTGCACCGTTGACATCAGGACCCCGGTTCCTATCACCACTGTGAAGGAATCTAAGTCTATAAGTTTCTCTACACATAAACCATTTCGCTTCAAACCAATCTGAATGACTTAGTTCATATCTCAAGCACTGAATTATGCAGAAATTTTGAAAATCTGGTGGGATTCCCCTTCAACTTCTGTTACAAGCTTTCCTTTTCCTGTTATGATACCATTTTGGAGATATGAGGTTTTGTTTCAGCCACTCCTTAAACAGCAGCACCAGTTAATTCACTGTAAGCTCTTTCTCACTGTTTCTCTTTGTGTCTCACCTGAAGATGCCCTCTGTCTGAGCTCCGCCAAGGGCCAGCACACACTGCGAGAGCTGCACCTGCACCCAGGGCAGCCTCCTCTGAGGGAACAGCTGGCTCTGCCTCTCCATGATTTCCTCCAGGGCACTGCCGAACAGAGATGGTGTCACAATGGCGTTGCGCCCGTGATCAATCTCATCCAGAGTGGGCTTCCTCAGACCCTGTGGAGGGAGAGAGAGAGAGAAAGATGAGTGTACATAAGCCAGTCTGATCTACATCAACATCTAGATGCAATCATTAGACCGGTAAAGGTAGATGAACTACCCCGATCAGGCATAACATTATGACCACCTCCTCGTTTCTATGCTCATTGTCCATTTTATCAGCTCCACTTACTATATAGGTGCACTTTGTAGTTCTACAGTTACAGACTGTAGTCCATCTGTTTCTCTGATACTTTGTTAGCCCCCTTTTACCCTGTTCCTCAGTGGTCAGGACCCCCATGGACCCTCACAGAGCAGGTACTATTTGGGTGGTGGATCATTCTCAGCACTGCAGTAACTCTGACGTGGTGGTGGTGTGTTAGTGTGTGTTGTGCTGGTACGAGTGAATCAGACACAGCAGTGCTGCTGGAGTCCTTAAACACTGTGTCCACTCACTGTCCACTCGATTAGACACTCCTACCTTGTCGGTCCAACTTGTAGATGTAAAGTCAGAGACGATAGCTCATCTGCTGCTGCACAGTTTGTGTTGATCATCCTCCAGTCCTTCATCAGTGGTCACAGGATGCTGCCCACAGGACGCTGCCCGCAGGACGCTGTTGGCTGGATATTTTGGTTGGTGGACTATTCTCAGTCCAGCAGTGACACTGAGGTGTTTAAAAGCTCCAGCAGCACTGCTGTGTCTGATCCACTCAGACCAGCGCAACACACACTAACACACCACCACCACGTCAGTGTTACTGCAGTGCTGAGAATGATCCACCAACCAAATAGTACCTGCTCTGTGAGGGTCCTTGGGGGTCCTGACCACTGAAGAACAGGGTAAAAGGGGGCTAACAAAGTATCAGAGAAACAGATGGACTACAGTCTGTAACTGTAGAACTACAAAGTGCACCTATATAGTAAGTGGAGCTGATAAAATGGACAATGAGCGTAGAAACAAGGAGGTGGTCATGATGTTATGCCTGACCGGTGTATAAAAATACCACAATAGATTAGCTGGGTAATCAAATAGTAGTCAATACGTTAATCACTTATAGAAATAAAGTGACATCTATCAACATAACAGTTCATCTTTAAGTCTGACCAGCTATTTGCAGTACAGTACGCATTCATGCCACTGTACAGTGTAATGTATGGGTGTGTTGTGCACCCTTAAAAATAGCACTCCAGTAACAACAGTGGAGGCAGTGGTGGGACAGCTGATTACAGGGTAAGGACTGGAGAAAGGACAGCGAGGGAGGGGGATACAACTTTTACTGTGATGCATCTGAGTGTGTGTGTGTTTGGTGGGGGGGTAAATGCCTGGGGGGTTATTTTAACCCTCCCCCCCACAAGTCTGAGTGGTTCTCATGGAGCTTTCGTAAGGGCTTAGTGCTCTGATTGCTAACACATGTAGGCACTTGCAGACTGCTACACTATGTTACACTTCAGCAGTCAAAGGCCAGTCTCAACACATTACAGGCGGCTTTGTTTCGGTACCATAAACCTGCAGCACGACCATCTCCACATACTTCTCTCCGGAAAAGCCTTTCAAATCACTGACCTTTGAGATAACCTGCCTAAACCACTCTTCTGTTTACCTTGAGTGTGCAGATGACTCTTAATCAGCCGTCCTGTGTGCCTGCTGGCCACAATTGCTGGTCTGGAATCAGGCTAATCAGGCTGAAGAATCACAGTTAAGGCGAAATGATAAACAAGTCTGGGATCAGTAACCAGGGCCACTCTTACCTTCTTGCCCCCGGTCACAACGACCTTCTGCAGCTTGCGGTAGCAGTACTTGGCGTATGTGCTGATCGGCAGACCTGCGGAGGAAACGGAGGACAAACAATGTAACTGACCAGTGAATAATGAATAGTGCGTGAGAGTCAAAGCTTTGTCGTGAGAACAGAACAAAATCCCGTGGTCTTGTGACAAGAATCACAGTCCTAAGACTTCTGTGTGGATTTTTAGAAGAAAAAAAAAACTTTTTGCTAAAGTTATGGGTTCAATACAAATGTACAGTAGAAAACTCTCATCCTTTAATTTCATTTCCAGTTAAAACAGCAGTTAAGGACAAGTTATTCATCTCTCAGGAAATATTTTTGAGGAGATACATGATAATTCATTCACAAAAGCAAAGAAAAAAGACAAAAATTAAGTAAAAAAACATAATTATCCAAAACTGGAGCTCAAAAAATGATTAAATGATACAGAAAAAATGGGACTCCAAACAACCATGCAAGAGCTGTTAGAGCAGCAAAACTCCCCCATCAGATAAACAGCACTTAAAGCTTTCATCTCTGAGAGAGAGGAGAAAATCAAGCTGCTTTAGATCTGAAAACATCCACAGGTGTTTCTGTCCATCCTTCCACTGTGAGAAGACGACTCAGCGCTGTGGGTCTGAAAGGATGTGTAGCTGATCAAGAAGAACCTCACTGAGAAAAGGAAGTAGACAAAAAAACTGCAAATAAAACAAATAATCTGCTGGTATTCTCAGAACAATTGACCCAGATCTCAGCATCACTGAACGTGTTCGGGATTACTTGGACTGTGAGAAACAGAAAAAGCAACCTCTAAGACTGAACTTTGGAGGTGTGGGAAAAATATCTGCAGATTTCTTTGAAAAACTCGAAGTAAGGCTACAGAAAAGAACGCAAGTGGTAATAAAGGCTGTGTACACACTACATACTAAAAAACAGATATTAAATTTAGTTGTTGAAGCTTCTGTGTGATTTTGTTATATATCTATATATCTATATCGCTGCTGTCAGAACAAAACCTCGTATCTCCAAAATGAGAACTTTACAGGAGAAGGAAAAAACCTACTTTACTTTTAATGTAAGTCAATGGAACCAGACTTTTTTTTACAAGTTATTTGGGCCGTTTCTTTTAGTCCGTTCATCATGAAATTTACACACAATGTAAAGGGCAACAGGTGTTTTCAAACTATGTCAAAAACTGAAAAACGACAAAAATGGAGATACAAGGTTTTGTTCTTATATACACACTTATATTTCGTTGTTGGAAGAAAACCTTGTGTCCAAAACGAGAACTTTACAGGAGAAGGAAAAAACCTAAGTTACTTTTGATGTAAGTCAATGTAACCAGACATTTTTACAAGTCATTTTGGTCCATCATGAAATTTACACATAACATAAAGGGCAACAGACATTTTCAAATGATGTCAAAAACTGAAAAACAACAATATATATATATATATATATATATATATAATAGCCATCTTGACTCCATATTAAATGAATGAAGGGTGCTCTCTGACTTTTGCACTTTTAATGTATCCACAAATCACTAACTTTACAGGAGAGGACAAATATTTCACAACCTTTAATATAAATTAATGTAATGAAATTTTATTCCAAATCATTTTTGGACCATGTCTTTTGGTCCATTCATCATGAAATGTTCCAACAGTGTAAAGGACAGCTGCTGTACTCCAATTATGAGGGAAAAATAAAAATTGATCAAATAGAGATACATGGGTTTGATATGACAGCGGCTATATGAGTGTGTGTGTGTGTGTGTGTGTGTGTGTGTGTGTGTGTGTGTGTGTGTTATATGTGAGTACTAGAGCTGAGCTGGATGTGTTTTTAGCTTAGATTACCACCAGCATGAGTCTTTTCTGCTCAGGATGTTTTACTACGCTTTGGCTGAAGCTAAGAAAAATACACGGTGGAGTGTAAATCAATACGGCAGATTCTGTTACCAACACAAGATCAAACAAACCACCACCAGCCCTGGACGCTTTCCTAGGCTTCCAGAAAATTCTTCTCTCATTACCACAGCATGACAACATTTCTGGAAAGCGGAGTATCTTGTAGCTGAAGAAGTGATGAAAAACTACCATAAAACTCTTTTAGCAACCGTGACGCTACGTAATGCAATGGAATCCGAAACACTGGTGACAGATAAAAGGCTGGAACGTAATGATCCGTAGTACTGAGATCAATGCTCACTGTGTGAGCTACAGATGTCTGCATGTCTTCCTCGGCTCTCGTACTTTATGCGGGGGCCAAATGCTAATCCCACCTCTTTCTAGGCTACTGAAACTACTGAAGAAGTTCAGTGGAACGTTGCTCCACACTGACTCTGGAATCCAAACACAGCAGTCTGGTGTTAGGACTGTTTCTGATGCAGGACAGACAGCACTCCTGTCCTGCTCTGTGGGAAGGTGAGTCATTCTTGGCTGTATGTGTGAGACAGACACTGATCTCTGATCTGAGGTCAGTGGGTGTGCAGTGGTGATTTACTGCTAGCAGGTGGCAGCAGCTTTACCGGACTGACCCAAGGCCTGACACTCAGCATCACCAACAGGGGAGGTACAGCTCCTCCCCATGGTTATTAATCATACTGAGAGAGAGAAGGAGAGAGAGAATACAAAAGACCTTTCAGACACTATTAAACGTATAAAAAAATAAATAATATATAAATAAAACACTGGGCATTCCAGCAACTCAATTACATATGACGGCATTTTAGGGCCACTGTTAATAAAAATAAAAAAAGTAGACTTCGAGAATAAAGTCGTAATATTTTAAGCCAAAAAGTAGTAGAATTACGACATTAAAGTGGCATTAATACCATACCACGAATACCAGGTTGCAATATTGTGGCCTACATTGTAAATGAGGTTTATTGATTGACTGATTGATTGACTGATTGATTAGCTGCCGTCCAGTAGCACCAGTAGTTTTAGTTAAACTTTACTGACAGATATGACTGTCAGAGCTTAATGTTTACACTTATTAAACTCAAATAAACAACAGAAACTCTTGGTTTTAAATAAGGTAAATGTTGTAGCACTGAGGTCAGAGCAGCCCATAGTTCTTTTTGGTTTTGGTTTCTTTTAATTACCTAATTTTTTGTATTTTTCATTAAAAATGCAGATGCAAAGAAAATGCAAAGAGGACATAAGAACAAAGAAAAATTGCAGAACGGCGAGGAAGAAGAGAGGAAAATGGTCTTTAAAGTCAACGTGAGTCAGAAATCATAATGCATTTTCCCTCAGTAATGTGACAATACTGAGAAATAAAGGTTCTCTGCAGGTACATTTTCATTTATCAAGGTACAAACAATGTAAATGTTCCCTCAAAGGTACAAGAGTGGTTTTAAGGGGAGGTGGAGGTGAAACACTGGTTATCCCTTGTGTGGTGTTGATGTGTCTGTTACTCAGTGGTCTGGTGGACCCACCACATTATTGTTGTTTTAAATCAATACAGCCATAACAATTTATGTAAAAATACCAGATGTTTAAAATATCACAAGTGGCCAGCGTAGGGTTCTCCTTTAGCAGCTGTAGCCAGTCAGCAGCCTGTCCATGTTGTCCACCCTCACATACACACACACACACTAACAGGAGGCCATGTAGGAGGAGAACAGAGTGAAGGACACAGCACCTCCACACTTTTACTCCCCACTGGTTCACCCAACACCACATGTGTAATATAAATGTGTGGGGGGTGAACAGAGTGAAGACACTGAAAATGGGTTATTTTATATGTTCTTCACAGAAAATGAGCAAAGGACAAGAATCTGAGGTTGAACTAATAATAAATCACATCATTATTTATTTTGGTAAACACTGAAAATGGGTCCCACAGACCTGAACACCACACAGGGGTTAATATTCTTCCCTTCCCAGCAGTGCACAGTAACATACTCAAAACTCAAAAGATGTTTCAGATGTGGGAAAAAGTCACTACACTTCAATCAACGATAACGGGATAACAAAAAAGTTCTCTTTTAAATATGGTGGCATATGGTGAACTCTGCTTTTCGTGACCAGAGACTTGGACTACCAAGCTAAAAAAAGGTCGATTCTGATTTCAGGTTGACTTCAAAGACGAGTGGTACCCTGGGAACACAGAGAGAGAGAGCAAACGAGAGATGGGAAAACGTCTGGGAATCGTGTGCCACCTCAAGCTGAACAACCACATTCTGAAAACAAACAATGCATTGCTTGTTAAAGTTTACAGCTGCATAAACTTTACGAGGAGCATTGTGGCTTCTAAGACAGAATAAAACCCTCATACTGTACACAAGCAGCTTGTTCATTTGTTATAAAAGTGGACGCGTGGTGAACAGAGGGGTCTGTTATGAAAGCAGAAAGAAGGATAGCTCAACAGCTGCATAAATGACCAGAGAGAGGGCGTGTCCTTCACAGCGGAGCAGGGATGAGTGAGGAGGAGTGACTACAGAGAGAAACTGGGACTCATTCAGAACCACCTGTCTTCTAGATAGAGCAGACAGAAAGAAAGCCGTTATGCAAGCGTGCTCCAAGAGAGCAATTAAGGGGTCCAAGCACTGACAGGCTGCAAGCCTCTGACCAACACCCCTTCCGGCTCAGTTGAACAGGCAAATTTCCTGCTTTTTGTAGCTAAAAACACCAACACCAGGGTTGTTATGGCATCACGGTTCCACAGTCAGTCGTGGTGTATGATTGGATGCTTCCCTCACCACTGATTCTTCCAAAATACCAATTGAAATGCATTTCTGTCTATTCCGACTTATGAGTAGTAGTTCCTTAAACCGTTCTCACGCTATTTTAAGCATGGCCTACTCTCTCAACTCATCCTGAAACATTGAGTACGTTTACATGCACTTAATAATCCGATAACTGCAGAAAATCTGATTTTGTCCGTAATCCGATCAACACGTTTACACGCACTTGAGTAATCAGATAATGGGGAAACTCCTAGGCTACATGAGTCAGACAGTAATCAGATTTCTGCTTTGCAACCGGCCAATAAACTCACAGAAGAAGACGAGACGTAAACGTAATGTAAACCAAAAACATCGCGCCACT